TATCATTTTTACAGTGTTTATAAAAACATTTCAAAATAGCGTGCAACGCACGTTTAGCTGTGATTAGTATTTTTTAAGTGACTCGTTACAATTTTTTAACTGATAGTTAATTATGAGTCCGTTTGATTCTCATTATTATAGAATGAGAATAAAAAATATAGTTGTTATTGGACCTCATACAAGAGATGAAAATTTAAAATTAATGGCTTGACGTAATGGATAACGTTCATATTTTTTATTTTTATGAATGAAAAATGACAAATATAGGCTATTTTTAACTTTCACTAACCACAAACGTTTATTCATCTTGAAAATTACTTTTCTACTGATAAGTAAATTGACCAAACACGCTCAGTAAAAAATTACAAACAAGAAGGAGAAATGTTTAAACTTAGCGTTAGTGCGAAAACTTCAAACTTCTCTCTGAGGAGAGAGAACAAATCGCGATCTTGAGCAATAGTGTGAGTCTCCGAACAAGATAGTCTTTCCACTCGTTCTAACATCCCACGATCTGTCGGTAAGTAAAAAATATTTGTCCAGATGCGTATTTTTGTTTTTATGAATCTATCAATGTTTAATTGTTTGATCTTTTCATTTGCGTGGATAAATTTTCTGGAACGTTTGGTGGGTTGATGATTTAGAGATCTGTAAATTTGAGTTCATATGCACTGGATATTTGGCTGTTTATCTGATCATTGCAGGGAAAAAATGTCAATGCGTTTAAGAGAAAAGTGTGGAAAAATTTTTAATTTTCTATTTTGAATGTGAGAATTGCGATTGCGAAGATGAAATTGAAGGCAATCTAAATGGGACTAGAAATGACGGTGAAAAAAAATGTTATCTTGATGAGTTTAATTCTGGATCGAATTATGGGTGGTAAAAAATGAACTGCCAGGCTGTCTCTGCTGCCAGATTAATATTACGATTGGGACATAATCCTCTCGCTTGCAGTTTAATTTTCCTGTTTAATTTATAAATAGCCAAGTCTAGTTTTAAATTATAAATTGTAATGTTTACCATGAAATGCTTTATAAATGTTTTAAATTGAAACGGGATCTTTTTCCCAGATATTAGTTTGAGTTATTATCTTTGAGTGTTGATGTATTTAGATTGGGGAATTTAATCCTGAATTCTAGAAGAAAAGTTGTTTAGTCCAATTGTGTCTTTCTAGTTGATTTTCTTTAAATACTGATGGTATAACTACTTCCAACTTTAATTGGGAATGAAGATTCAATTTTTTATACAATCCAAATCTCGTTTTCTTGAACTATTCTATGCACTAAAGTAGATGAACTCTGGCTTTATCATCATCATAGCAAATGAGCATCCTTAACAGTGAGAAAAAAATCTTTTTTTTTTGGGTGATTGTATCTTAAATGATTTGATAGAGATATCCAAGTGCATCGATTTGGTAGTTATTCAGTTTTTGTTAGCTCCCTTATTTTTGAGCAGAGTGAAACTCAAAGCCCTCTAGTTTGGCTTTGAGATTTGATGGGAGATACTTACAGAGAGAGACACTGAATAGTGCAGTAGAAGTTTGATAGGATACACATGGTCTTTTGGACTGGAGAAGAGTTAGGGCTTATCCGCAATTCTCAGTCCATAGAAATCATCAAACCAACCGTTAAAGTACCAAAAATAGATACTGAATTCTTTTCAATCATTATTAGAATTCAAGAAAATATTTGTTGTTACTTATTTGCTTGAGAGTGACACTGAATATTACTATTTTCTATATGATTGTAGATGCAACTATGTTTTAGAGAATAGTAATTAATTACAGAATTCTTATCTGAAACTAGGGATCTTTTCATGCCATCAACTATAATGAGATAAACAAATAACTTGTATTAGAAACCACTAGCTTTAGTAGTTATGCTTGTGCTGAAGGTATTTTGATTACGCAACGGTTTTCTTCTTTGAAATACCACCAAGTTCAAACATTTTAGCCAACCCCACACGAATATGGACTTCATCGGGTGTGTTGAAATACTTTGACTAAGACCTAATGGAGGTGGGATGCGAAGATCTCTGTCAACTTCAGAAATGGCCAAAAGTTAACCCCTTCACAAGATGTCTGTGATTGATCATAAATGTCTGCATTCTATTCATAATTAACTACATTGTGTGGTTTCTGATCAGTAAAGCTTCACTTTTGTTCTTTCATCCACTAGCAGTGGCTGTTTATTTTCATTAGCGTTTCCGCGGTAGAAAATTCATTTTTTTCTTCACATGTAGCAGTGGCTATAATTTGTGCTGTCAGTGATTGATTCATTTTCTCACAAAATCTCTTAACTTCCCTGCTATTACATTATGTGGCTAATCTTATCATGCTAATTCTGCAGGAGTCTTTTTTGTCACTGCAACTAGATTTTTTGACTTTTGCACACAATGCTTTCAAAACTAGCACGCCGTTTTCTTATCCAGTGATAGCTTTAAGGGGTAAAAGTTACTGGGAAGAACTATTATTTTCTGCTCCATCTGTAAGTTTCTGCAAACATGGTATTCAGTAAATTAGCAGAAATTGTTTCATCTGCAACAGCTCGATTGTCAGTGCCAAAGTCTTCTGCTCTTTCATATAAATCACCTGGATTTCTTCCTGTTCGAGATTCTCCTCATGGTTATTCCTTTTCCAGCCCAGAGAACAAGAATAGTTTGAGACTCTCCTCGTCCCTTCAAGATTTGTCTACTTATCGTCGACTTGATCCAGAAGCAGGTGACCTTAGCCGTGGAATAGAGAGGAGTTCAAGTCATGCAATACCTCCAAATCCCTTGCAGAATGAAAATGGCGGATTGAGCTTTTCTAAGGAGAAGGCATCATCAGTTATTCCTTCCAGGCGAAAGAAGTGGATTCGAGTTATCTGTGTTCTTCTCTGTTTATTATTATTTGCTTGTCTGTCTTTTGCAGTACAATTTCTGTATTCTAACTGGTCTCAAGGTCCATCAAAGTTCTATGTAGTGCTTGATTGTGGAAGCACTGGGACCCGTGTTTACTTATATAAGGCTTCCGTTAATCATAACAAAGATGACAATCTTCCGATCTTATTAAAATCATTGCCTGAAGATTTCCACAGAAAATCTGGTTCCCTGACTGGACGGGCTTACAACAGGATGGAAACTGAGCCTGGGTTTGACAAGTTGGTGCATAATGTATCTGGGCTGAGGGAGGCAATAAATCCACTCGTTCGATGGGCCGAGAGACAAATTCCCAAGAAATCACGTAAGACTACTTCCCTCTTCCTTTATGCTACAGCTGGAGTTCGTCGGCTGCCAAGTTCAGACTCAGAATGGCTTCTTAATAATGCTTTGTCAATTCTGAAGAATTCACCTTTCTTATGCAAGAGAGAGTGGGTTAAAATTATAACTGGCGTGGAGGAAGCTTATTATGGATGGATTGCTTTAAATTATCACATGCGTGTGTTGGGGGCTACACCCAAAAAAGAAACATTTGGTGCACTTGACCTGGGTGGGTCGTCATTACAGGTTACTTTTGAGGGCAAAGAAGCTGCCCATGATGAAACTAGCTTAAAGCTGAGAATCGGCTCGGTTAATCATCATCTCACTGCCTATTCTCTATCAGGATACGGGCTTAATGATGCATTTGACAGATCTGTAGCTCATCTATTGAAGATGCATCCTCACATAACTAATGCTGATCTAGTTAGTGGAAATATTGAAATTAAGCATCCATGTTTGCAGAATGGTTTCAAAGAGCGATACACGTGTTCTCATTGTGCTTTTGTCCGCCAAGAAGGTGTAAGTCCTACTCGAGGAGAAATACTGGGTAAAGGAGCAAAAGCTGGGGTTCCTGTTCAGCTTGTTGGGACTCCAAATTGGCAAGAATGTAATGCACTAGCAAAAATAGCTGTTAATCTGTCTGAATGGTCGGACCATAGTCCAGGAATTGATTGTGAGTTGCAGCCATGTGCACTTGCGGAAAATCTGCCTCGTCCTTTTGGACAGTTCTATGCTATGTCTGGTTTCTATGTTGTGTATCGTTTTTTCAACTTGACTCCTGATGCTGCACTGGATGATGTTTTAGAGAAGGGTCAGGAATTTTGTGAAAAAACATGGGATGTTGCGAAAATAAGTGTTGCACCTCAGCCTTTTATAGAACAGTACTGCTTCAGGGCGCCATATGTTGTGCTCCTACTGAGAGAAGGATTGCACATTACTGATAGGGAGGTAATTATTGGTTCTGGAAGTATTACTTGGACTCTCGGGGTTGCTTTGTTGGAAGCCGGAAAGGCATTTCCAAACAGGGTAGAATTTCACAGATACAACATATTCCAGATGAAGATTAATCCAGTTCTTCTCTTTGCCATTTTATTTGCTTCATTGTTTGTCCTTGTCTGTGCATTGTCTTGCGTTGGCAATGGGGTGGTAAAGTTCTTTCGAAGGCCATATCTACCACTTTTCAGGCACAACAGTGTGGCATCTACATCAGTTCTCAATATTTCATCTCCTTTCCAGTTTCAGCACTGGAGTCCTATAAATACAGGTAATTCCTCTTCCCGAGGCATATTTAGCTAAACTTAAAAAGATGTGAAGGTTTTAATGTTTTTGTTTCCAAACGTGTTTAGATATGATACTTTTTCCCTACTTCTATGTATTTTATTACTTATTTTTAAAGTAACTCTTACATTAGCGTCAAAATGGGTAACTTATTTTATTTTATTCAAAACTTAGTTTTTTTACTTGTAAGTAAACTATCTAGGCTTAGCAAAAAGTGCTCCTAATTCCATACTTTCCGAGGACTTGATTAACTTAGCCCTTATTTGACCCGCATTTTCTAAAACTCATTTTCGCTTAAACTCATTTTTAACTAAATATTTTATGGTATCCACAACGTTTATCATCTTTTCAACCGCACATTTCATCAACTTTATCAAAATCTACTAAAAATTTAATTTTTATCTAAACCAAACGGGGGCTTAGTTTTGTATATAAAATGATACCATCTCAACTATTCCGTTTTTATAATTTTTCAGGGGACGGAAGAGTAAAAACACCATTAAGTCCAACAGTTGCAGACACTCAGCGAAGACCGTTTGATACTGGACCTGGCTTCAGCAGCGGCGGCATCCAGCTCACTGAATCTTCCTTCTATTCATCGTCTAGCAGTGTATCACATAGTTTTTCTTCTGGCAACTTAGGACAGATGCAATTTGACAGTAGTAATGCGGGTTCCTTCTGGACCCCCCACAGAAGTCAGATGCGTCTACAAAGTAGGAGATCCCAATCTCGAGAAGACCTTAATTCTTCTCTTGCTGAGGCACACATGGCGAAGGTTTAACACTGCTTTATCTGATTTAAATAAATTACCCGGGTTCAAGAAAGTAGTTCACCACTGATACGGAGAATGTAGTCTCTTGACTGTTCTATCTCGATTCACTTGGTAGAGTCTTCTTAGTCGAATGGCTCCCAAAATGTTTGAGAAATGGCTTGTTGTAACTGGCTATAAAGAAAGGATATATGCCTTTGGGGAGGTGGATAATTTGCTACAGAAGGGACTGCTGGTGGTAAAAAGATTCTTGTGCCTGAGGCAAGAGAAAACTCATTTGCATAGGCCAGACATCAACTAAAATCACTTCAGCCAAGAAGTATCACTGAAAAAATCAAGTGCAGAATTAAGGCCATCCATTGTTAACAAGTTCAGCCACGAAGCGATCATCTGTTCCATTTTGCTTGTCCCACGAAGATGACGATGGAACATATAACTATTGATTTCGCTTATAAGGTATGTGCTCCTTGGAGAATTTTGGGATCTCACTGTTTAATTATTGTACATTTTACTTTTGACATAATGATACTAAAAAGATTAGTTTCATTTTGTAATACAATTTTAAGACGATATTTGATGCATTTCATTTTTGCTTCTGGTATTTGGTAAGTGGTTGAAATAGGAAAACTTATTTTCGAATCCATAGTTTTGTAGTTCGGATAGAGTTATTGGTAATTGATACCTTATTGTTTATGATGTTTAACAGCTAAGGATCACGTACTATGCATGGTTTTTAACTGCTGTTTCTAATATCTTCTTAATTGATTCCACCTAGAAATAAAAATAAAATAAAATTGGTGATCATTCTCTTGTACCATCATGCAACACAGAATTGTACAGAATTCTTCCATAATTAGATTAAGTGACAGAATATGGATAGAACATAATTCATTGAAATCAGCCAACTGCACATCATACAATTGAAGCATCTCAATGTACATATTACTCCATTACTCCTGATACTATTGGCTAAGATGACACTCGAGTTTAAAAACCAGATTTTGAATTGAGTCGTTACAGGGCCTTCTAACATTTCCATTTAACTTTTTCCACGAGTATTTATACAACTTTAGTAGACAAATAAACAAGTACAGAACATGGCTTAAACTCTGCAAGTTTAGAAGCTTCTCATTAGTCAACTTCTTCAAAGAAAATGCAAGTTCCATTGCTGTAAAACAAATCCTAAACAGTGAAAGTAAAAACTATTGAACATATCTTTACATGTTTTTAACAAAACATGCCACAGAAGAAACCAAGCCAGTGGACCAAACAAATCAATAAATGGATGCCTCCCAGTGAAAACCGTGTATTTTAGTTCCCCATTTGTCAATGCCAGCATGTGCGGACATGGAAGAATGTCCAACGTTCTGATAAATATTCATAGATAGGATATCACAATCTACTGTTGACGCTCACTCCCCCCCCGCCATCCCACTCCCAAACACATACAAAATATCTGTAGAGAAATGATTTCCTGTCCACAGTGGGCAGGAATCCTGTCCACTGTGGACAAAACATCAATTCTAATTATCTGTATATGGTAAGAATGGGCAACATAACTCTTGCCCACTGTGGACAAGAGATCAATTCTAATTATCTCTATATGTTAAGAGGTATAAAACTGTAACTAAAACGACATGAACATGTATGGCCTTGCTTCTTTTTTATGAATAAGCCATTTTTGGCTTTTAAGCTTAGCCAAACATTCTCTTGGAAAAGAAAAACTTACCATATAATGCATCTCCCTTTTCGGCATGATCAAACTCAGGAAAGTGGCATCAAAATAAACTGAAGCTTAACTTTTCCACCTCCCTTGTTTTGAATTTCACCAAACAAAATGAGCGCAATTAATTATTTCAATATGATTGGAAAACAAATCCAGAAAGACACTATGCATATAATTTTGTTGTCGAATTTAGTGACTTGTACAATCCAGAGGAAGAAAAAATAGAAACAGAGATGAAATGAGATATGCTGTAGCAAATCTCTTTAAGAGATATTTCGCCCTCGTACAAGTTTCAACAGAATTAACGAACTTCAATATCTCTGTAATACTTTGAATGTGATAGGGATAATAGATATTGAACTACTGCTTATATGTTTAATATTTGTGGAACTTTTGTTAGTTGAAAATCCATTCTACAATCTATTGTAGCTTTATTGACTAGGGAAGGTGAACAAGTGGCTGCAACGGAGTAAATTTGTTCCACTAAACGAAAATGGTGGAGAATGAATTCTATTCTTTCTTAATCAAAATTTGGCAATTGTTTATAATTATGCTTATGTTATAAAACTAAAAGAACAAGAGAAATATAAGAGAGAAACAGACAGAGTTAAAACTCAAATATGTATTTTATTGAAAATCAGTGTTCCATATTTATAGAGTTCAAAACGAGAGTTACAATCACAGAGTAGAAAATATACAGAAGATTTCATTTTGTCTTTGTACTTCATCTTACCCCATTTTTCTTTCCAAAATTAATCAGAAGTTGCATGTTGAAGATAATTTTTCAATCCAAAACTACGTTTGGACAGTATTTTTCACTATTATGTGCATTTTATTTTATTCTTGGTTATGGCTCATTTACCTGAGCATCACAACGTGCTATTGAACAAGGCAAGCTGCAAAAACTTGGGTAAAAACTGACGGTTCACTCTAAATTTCGGTTTTTATGTAAGATAAAAAGAAAATGATTTATATGGAAACTACATATTAATCTATATGAAAATAAAAAATTAATTCTTGTTCAATGCTAATAACTCCGGCTATCAGTATCAATTAACGCCTCCTACAATATGGACACGAGATGAAAATAAGCAATTTGAGGTCAAAATTCAGTTGGTTTCGAGAATTCGCCAAAGGAGCACTAGTAGGAAAGCCGTGCACCAAAGACTAACACTCTATGTAAACATAGATTATTTGTCTATATGTTTCGTATTTTGGTGCAATGACATTTTTCTCCTGTTAGTGTATATACTGCAATACTTACTTCATGGCCTTTAACACTTCAATTCTATTTAGAGCATGCTTGGCTAAACTCAAAATGTTTACGTTTAAGTAAATTTACAAGTTAATTTCAAAAGCATCCCACCACTCCCCAATAGATGGATTTCACGGCCAAGATTTCTAGGAAAAGTGTCACAACAGTGCATTTGAAACACACTGGTTGATAAATTCAAATCGGTAAACCTACTACTGCTAAGTGCATTGGAGAGATACAAACAAATGGGAAGTATAGCTATGAGCAAAATGGAAAAGCTTATTCTCACGTTATAACTAATCAAAGTTGAAGAAAAAATACTCAATAACTAATGCTTCCTTGAAAGTCCGAGAAACACAGTAGCAGATGAGACTTGTACTCTAAGATCAGCAATATCAACATCGTGGCCACCTTCAACTAAACCCCATCGGTCGACCTGCAAGGGAATAACAAATTTACAGTCAGGAGTGGGTTTAGATTGTAGCAATAATGTTTAAAATAATACTCATTTTGTGTTTTTTATGCTTTCCCTTGTGTTTTGGCAAGTTAAGAGGGGGGAATGTAACAGGATCACGAACCTGTAAATCTTCCTCTAGTCTGATCAACTTAATGGCCTCCTCTATGTCCAATCGACCACGAAAGATTCCAAGTGCAATGACTAAAGAATGCGCAGAAGCAGCGATTGCATCAATTGCCGCCAACTCACAATCATCTGTCTTTTTCAGAAGGTTCTCAATGGCATCAACCAGACCACCTTCTTGTTTGCCACCAAAAAAACTGGAATATACAATAGGCTTAAAACCAAATTCTGACTCAACCCAATTGAGTAATGGATCAAGCTTCTCTACTTGGCGTCCTGCATAGTTTTGCACATAAATAAATTAATTTATTAGAAAAATAAACAAAAACTTGAAACACAAAACATTACAAATGTAAAAACTAACACACATGAATTTTCAACTCAAAAGTGGTATTGAAAGTCTCATTCCATTCAAACAGCTTCCATCTTGCATTGAATGTAGCTCAGAAATACAGAGGCTTCTTCTTTAGCTTAGCTTTTTATTTCTTAGGGCGTGACCTTTTCAGTACTTTCACAAGAAGATGGTTCGATAAAAATCTGACCACAGAAAGTTTTTGGTAGATCACATATTAATAATTACACGAGGTACTCAATAGAAATGGAGCATACTCAAAGAAAAATGTACAGCCTACCCTGCAGCAACCGTTTCATTTCCACTACACAAGACAATTTTATTCATTTGGTCCCAGGCATGTGGTGCACCCAATGACATCCATAATTTCAACTTCTAGGTGGGGAAAATCTTTACCTTCAAATTAGTGCTATTAAATCATTGTTCCATCTTAAAAGGTCAACATTATTAAAAGGAATAGCCAAGCCTTTATATCTTGGTTAATGTTTCTATCTTTATTCGATGTATCCCTTGACAAGTGCATCCCACTCTCTCTTCAATGATGTTATGCCCTTGTTTGAGCCCCATTTTTTCCATCAAAATGTATTCTAGAACTGTGTGATTTGATGTATTTCAACCACGCATTCTTCAATAAAATAATATTACACACAAATCCAAAACATTGGGGGGGGGGGAGGTGCTCTCAAACAATCCCTATGTCTAAATTGCATTCATACCAATGAAGTTCATATAGAAATGTTGCACTTAAGTCGTCGAGTTTTCAAATAGGTAACATTACAGCAACACTAAATCATGCCCGTTAATCTTTTCTTGTAAAGGGTCCTAAATGAGATGCATGCTTGTGATATAAAGTTCTCTCATTGGAATTTGGATCTCAATTAGCAAAACTCAAATGAAAGACGTTACAAGAAAACTGAGAAAAGAATATTTTGTGTAGTCAACTTTAACATGACTTTTAAATGTAAAATTTATGAGAGAATTTTTTGGTGCTAGCAAGAAATCCAACACGAGTATTCATTGGGCCAGGCCCTCCTAGTTTGGGACTGATATCGGTTTAACAAGTTGAATCTCTTTAACTTGATAGTTCACTCTTCTTTACAAGTTTCTAGTTGGATAAGGCATTCATTCTTTGATTTTCAGTCACCACTTTGATGAAAAATTATTAATTGGTAACATCATTTGTTCCATCTCAGTTTACTATTGCCTACAAGCCTACGTAAAACAAACACAAGAAATGGCCACAGATCTCTAAACTCTCCAATGAATGAATGAGTGAAGTAGGCATAAGAAAAAATAACATTTATCAAGTTCCCAATTAACACACCCCAATGACAGTATGAAATGCACTTACAGTGATGCCAGAATCCTGAAACTTCTCAATACATGATTCAAATAACATTATGCAAGAAGTTATTTGCCAAACTCTTTAAACTAGAAATATTTGAAGATCATGGGGTTACACTTAAAAAGGAAAACAATGCATACCTAGAACATTGCTTGTTAGATCACTGTCTCCTGGAGCACGGCAGAATACCAAATCTTGATGGAACTTTTTCATCAAATATTCGATAATTTTGTGCCGAGTAAGTGGCACTCTTTCCAATGCAGTGCATGTAAGTTTCATCAGAGGCATTGTAAATGGCCTGATTCCATCTATTTGCTACGATCACAAAAACTTCATTACAAATTCCAGTTATCACTCAAACTTTAACCCAAGTTTATA